ATTCCTCTTAAAAGCTAGGCCTGACCACACCTGTAATCCCAGATTCTTGGGAGGCAGACACATGATTGCAAAGTCAAGACCAGTCTAGGCAACTTAGCCAGATCCTGTCACAAACTAAAAAAGTAAAAATAAAAAGGTCTGGGGATGTAGCTCAGTGATAGAGCACCCCTGTGTTCAATCCCCAGTATGAAAAAAAAAGAAAACAAAACAAAGGCCTAGAATTTAGAATTGATATAACTATTATAGCACTATTTACATCATTCTGCTCTGATCAAAGCAGTCACATACCAGACCAAACTGCAGGGAAAGGACAATAGGCCTTTTAGTTTTTAGTTAGTTTTTCTTTTTTATTGTAAATTGATAATTTATAACTGTATAAATTTATGGGGTATGAAGTGATAATGTAATTTATAAATACACTGTGGAATAATTAAATTAAGCTAACATATCCAGAGACTTCAACTTGTAACTGGAGGAATAGCAAAGAATTTGTAGCCACCTATAATATGCCATAAATGTAATATCTATTAGCATATATACTTGATAAACTCAAAGCTTTTCCACATACAAAAATACTACCATGCCAAGTCCTCAACAGTTTGAAACATATGGTTTTCTTAGATCATAGGGTGCTATTACGCATATTGTGTGCAATTTTTTTATTTAGTGGTGATGGTAATCAAAATTCTCTCAATTTTATTATTTCTTTGATTTGTATATGTGTGTTTTATGACCAGCATTCTGAGTTGTAGGAGTGTGTACTATGCATTTTATGACATACAACTAAGATCTTAGAAGCATTAAGAATAGTTTATTAATGCCCAGGGTATCATTGTAGCCTACCTAATACCTTTGATTTACTAAAGTCACAAAAGTTCCATTGGCTTGTTTTATGGTTATAACTTTCTCCATATGGTAAAGCACAGCTTTCTACAGGTGTTCTACAAGTCTGGTCTACTGACATCTAAGGAATTCAACTCTGGGGTCAGAGAGAATAAAAAGCAAAAGACCTAATAAAAACCACATGTTAACCATTAATGTTCATTTACCAAATCTTGCTTAAACTCTTGTATTCTTAAAGCTAATTTCATCCAATTGCTTTTTAATTATAGTCTCTTGTTCAGAGTTGCAAATATAATGGCTTTTTAATATAACTTGCACTGTTCTGTGTCCAATGTAGGATGTAATCATGCAATTTATTCAGTCAAAGCCAGTGCATCAGGTAATTAAAACATGAGCACACATGGATTTCTGCACATGCTTATACCCAGGAGGAAAATAATAAAAAATCTGACAAATCTGCTATTGAATAGAATGCTAGAAATCCTATGTGCACCAACGTATATTGGTGAAAAGCAGAAGTCAGACATGGTTGGAAGACCTGTGCACATAGAAGAAATCCGAGAAATTGATTTAAAGTAGGATGTGAGTAGTATGATACATTTTAAACTAATTATAGACTCTCCTATTTCTTTTAGAGGAATAAGAAAAAAAAAGATAACAACATTTAAGATTATTTTCACTACTGATAAAAATGACCAAAAAAGATGTAACAAAAATTCTCGGAATAAAGTAAATATGTGCCTACATATATATGCACAAACACATCTGTAGCATTTTTCTTTTATTAAGCATGTATTACTCTAATAGTTGTTCACCTTTATTTCAGTTTTCAGACTTATCAGATTTATAAAAATAAGACTAGTAATTCTTTCATTAGCCATTTTGAATTATGCATAATTTACTGGTTTAAAAAACAAATTAAACCATGTTTTTACACATTTAATCAATCTATAAGTTATTAAGAGTCTACTAACTGTGGCCTACATATTAATAATAAGAAAGTGATGGGCTCTAAGATGTTCACTTCTTTAATCAATTACATTTATTTACATGAATAATAATGTATTTGAGAAAAAACACAAAGAATATGATCCTATTTGAGTATTAAAAATAAAACACTTAGGAATAAATTTAACCAAAGAAATGATAGATCTATATACTGAAAACTATAAACATTGCTGAAAGAAATTGAAAAAGACAGATGGAAAAGTATTCATGTTCTCTGGTCGAAAGAATTAATACTGTTAAAATATCTATACTAGAAAAAGCAACAGATAAGTTCATTGCAATTCTATCAAAATATCAGTGCACTTTTCACAGGAACAAAAAACTCTAAAATTGGAGGTAACACTTTCTGATTTCAAATTATATTAAAACACTACAGTAATCAAAAAAGCAGGGAACCGACATAAAAACAGACACTTCGACTAATGAAAGAGAACTGAAAGACCAGAAGTAAATCCAAGCATGTTTACCAATTTTGCCAAGGCCACTAGGAAGACATAGTAAGAAAAGGATAATCTCTTCAGTGAATGCTGTTAGGAAAACTGGATATCCACATTCAAAAATATGACAATGGACCATTACCTCACATCATACACAAAAATAAACTCAAAATGTGTTAAAGGTCTTGATAAGTTGCTGTGGCGGTCTTTGAACTTGTGATCCTCCTGCCTCAGCCTCCCAAGCTGCTGGGATTACAGGCATGTGCCACTGTGCCAGGTCAACATACCTTCTTCCTCTTACATTCTCAGCGGTTTTAGGGTTTCTCTTTGGAAGAAAGGAAAGAAAGACGGAAGGAAGGAAGGAATGAAGGATGGGAGGAAGGAACAAAGGGTAGGAGGAAAGGAGGAAGGGGGGGGTGCAGAGGGAGAAAGAAAAGACAAGATGGCTAGGAGGCTAGTCAAGTATCATTCTATTCCCAAATAAGGATTTAACTAAACCCTGAAATCCAGATACACAAGTAGACACTCCAGAAAGAGGAGTCTAAAAAAGTAAACCAACCTCAACAGGGGAATCCTGTCTTGATCCCTCCTGGTGCTTTAGGTCTCAGTTCTCAAGATCTTGCAGCCTAAAATCTGCTTGCTCTTTGTTTAGCCTTCAGAGATGCAGTGTCTTATGCAACTATGAAGTTGAAATCCATAGAGGACCCAATCAAACACACTGCTGTCAAAGCAAAAACTAGACAAACATACATGCTTCATCATCTTGATTAAATACCAAATTCCAATCCTAAATTCTATACTCAGGTGCTTGTTTTAGGGAAATGCTAAACTTGTGAGTGGATTATGTACCTAATGTTCTTTTAGAGACTTAAGACCCACGTTGCTACAGAAGTGATGGTAGAAAATCCACACCAAATATATTATAAATTTAAAAGCAAAATTCTATAAGTCCCCAGTAACTAGCTCATACTGAAGTCAAAATTTAAGCCCTAAATTGCTCAGTGCCTTGCTAAATTGCTGAGGCAGGTATCAAACTTATGATCCTCCTGCCTCAGCCTCCCAAGTCACTGGGATTACAGGTGTGCACCACTGAACTTGGCTTAATTTTTGTTTTTACTTTAAAATACTTACTTTTTGGCATTTCTAAAATCAAGATTATTAGTCTTTTAAGTTAATTCATTTATTTATTCACTGTGCCTTTCCCCCCGCAAAGCTGTTAAATTTATGTACCTATTAGCATAATTTCCAGGTATCTTAAATATTAAAGGACATTTTAACTATACCTGATTATTTATAATATTAATGTAGGGAGTTCCTTCAAAGTTTGATTGCCAGACTGGGAGTTCAAAGTGTTTGTTAGGAGTGCCTGCCTACAGTCATTGAAAATTTGTGTTCAAATCTTATTACTGGGTTTAAAAAAAAAAAAAAAAAAATCTGGCATGATTTATGCAACTTGTTTCTTCTTAATGGACATTAAAATTATGAACTTACTATTACAAATATGATTCAGTTAATATCCTTGAACAAATACCTTCTTACATTAGTGGAAATATTTCTACAGATTCCTAGGAATAAAAAATATTGGGGCTGAAATATTGCACATATTCTGTGTTCCCCTCAGAATTCATACTTTTAGGTCCCAACTACCAGTACCTCAGAATGTGAACTTGCCAAGGAGAGAGCCTGGAATAGACCCTTCCAGATCTAGTCCTCAGAAGCAGTCAGCTCTGCCAACCTTCTTGGTTTTGGACTGAGAGCCTCCAAAACTATGTATGAGATAATACAGTTCCACTGTTAAAGCCACCCAGTCTGTGTCATTGCTGTGACAACCCTAGGAAATTAACAGAGCACACCTGCAAAATATCTTCCAAAATGGCTGTAACCATTTATACCTTACCATGTATGAGGGTAAGGTCAACTACATGCTTCACCAATACCAAATATCAACCTTTATACTGTTTTGTTTATTTTTAAGGACAAGTGAATTCTATCTCAATTTTTTTTTGGTGGTGCTGGGGATTGAACCCACGGCCTTATGCATGAGGTAAGCACTCTACCAACTGAGAGCTATATCCCCACCCCAAATTATATCTCTTTTTAATGCAAGCTGTTCTGATTTTTTGAACCCAGATTTAGCACACTTGTAGGGTTTTATGTTCTTTTATTTTGAAATATCTAAAGATGGATTCAATTGGATTAACACTATCAAATAACCACTCAAATATACAATTTTAATGTAATTTGATACAATGATGAAAACAAAAACTATATTTAGCTTTAAAGAATATCCCCTCACTTGTTGACTTATCTACTGCACAATATTCATTATTTAGGACTACCACACAAATCATGAAGTATATTTTTGAAAATTAAAAACTATACAATTAGAAACTACAAAATTAAGTTATCTTCATATGTATAGTACATGAAAACAAGTTGCACATCCAGTAATCCAATAGCTATTGAGGATTACATTTTTGAAGTAAATATACCTGATCTCTCTGCTGGAAATACACTAGAATACACAATGTTCCTAAAATGGCATTGCAAAGTAGAAGAGCATCTTAGTAACACTAAAACCATGCCTTTTATGGTTGCAATTTTAACTTAAAAGATCCTACCTAGAAATAATAGCCCACGAGGATATTTGTCCCCAGTCACTCTTTCATTAAAGCTTATATTCTATCTGAGGCTTATTTTCCATCTTCTTCGTCATTTATTCTGCTTTGTCTTCAAATGAGTTAAGAAATGCACTTTCAGGTTATTTGACTGAACAAACCTCTTGTCACAGCCTGGAAAGGTACACGCAAAACGTTTCTCCCCAGTGTGGATGCACAGATGCGTTCGTAAATTGAAGTCCAGAGAAAAGCGCTTTCCGCACCCTTCAAAGGTGCACTGATAGGGCTTCTCTCCAGTATGAACCAGAAAATGCCTTTTTAGTTTTGAGCTCTCTGAGAATGTTCTCCCACATTCTGCACACACGTGATCTTTGGGACCAGGAACAGGGATGTGACTTCTCGGGGAAGATTTGTTATTCGGCTTTCTTTGGCGTGTATTTTTTCCTCGCTTCTTTCTAGCAAATCCTGTGAGCTGTTTCGGATCTGCTATGTCGCTGGTGCAGGGTCTCTCTGTGGGAGGAGGCTTTTTGCCTGTCCCGTATTCAGAACACCCAAGTCGTGAATTCTCTTCACTGGTCTGCTGAGGAAGCTCTGGTGTTGTCCCCTTTTTCACATATTCCAAAGAAGATTCAAGAAGGGAGTCTGCTTCAAAAATCTGCTTGGGAAGGTCTTCATCTAATCCTTTCTCCAGGCAGTCCAAGGACTTAAAAAGTGAATCTTCTCCCAGGATAGATTCAGAAAACTCCCCTCTGAGTAGGCATTCTATGTAACAGTCCTGGAAATCATCCTCTCCAATAGCCAGAGGGCTGAGCTCACAGCTAGGGTCTTTGTCATTGTCAGCCCATGACCTGCTGGGGGATTCCATTTCTGCCTGCCTAGCTTTGGTTCAACTTTTTTCAGGGTTCTTCTACCCACACCTTTCCGTCCAGGAGTTTTGCACCAGAAATAGTATCAATCACTTCCATGTAATAGTAATCTTCACCAAACACCTGCTTTATGAAAATAATCTTGAATTGGAACATATTCTAATATTAAAGACATCAACAGAAAATGACCTAAAACACTGACCTAGAGCTCACTTTTCAATTACAATTAATGCTACACTTACATGTTCTCTGATAACCATACCCCCTCACCCCCCAAAAGAAAATGCATCCTGGAATAAGATGGGTTATCTGGGTACCCTATAAATTTTCTGACTTAATGACTCATCTAATATTTATTGTGCACTCATTAAGGTTCTAGCCCTACTCTTGTCTACATATTGTTTGTGATTCTTCAGAAGAAGTTTGCAATCTTAAATAGAGCCAAGCAAGCAAACCTTTACTGAGGTGTTTGGTAGCAACTGATTAAAAACTCAAAGGGGATGAAGGAGTACATAAAGATGCCCCTGTTTTCTTATGTAATGGTTGTGAAACTGATATTAAATAATGTATGTAAAGTGTTTGGCACAATTCATGGTGCAGAGCATATACATGCTGAATACTTAACATGGATTAGTACTATTTTATAATCCTTTTATCCATTTTGTAAGTGTATGTTGGATCCTGTAACCTCACTAAGCTGGGGATGACAATCTTTTTCTGTAAAAAGCCAGATTTAAGCTTTGTGTGCTCTCTTATCTCTGTTGAAACTCCTCAATCCTGTTGTAGCAGGAAGTAATCAACAGATAATCCATAAAAGAATGAGATTGGCTGAATTACAATAAAAATCCAAGAGAGGCTGGATTTCTCCCATGGGCTACAGTTTGCCTGCCCAATGTTCTAGAAGTTAGGGATCCAGAAAATAAGGCACACAATATCCATGGCACTCCATCTCTTCTGACTACAAGCCAAAGTAAAAGCATAGGGTAACTATCTTAGCTCTGAAGTTTTACATTTCCTTAAGACTATAAAAGAACCTTTAAAACTTACAGTACAAATACGTTACTGCTATTCTTTGAAGAGTGGTTTGCTTAATGATACAATCCTGTACCTGATAAAGACACAAACAAAAGTCCCTCTTCCTAGTCAGTCCATTATAAATAACTGAAATTTGATTTGATGCTTGCCTTTCTTTCCAAGCTGATCTCTTGCCATCTCTAGTGCTCCTGTTTTATGATTCAGCAATAATAAACTCTCTCCAATGAAGCAAACAAGCATGGAAGCCTGTTTCCCACCAAAACTTCAGCTTTCTCAGGCTGCCCTCAATTCTTAGGCTCTTTTACATCCCCGAGCTCAGCATTCACTAGCTCCCTATCTCATATGGATCAGAGCTCCATGATAATAATCTTGAATTGGAACATATTCTAATATTAGAGACATCCTCAGAAAACGATCTTAAAACACTGGCCCAGAGCTCACCTTCCAATTACAGAATGCTACACTTACATGTTCTCTGATAACCATACCCTCTCACCCCCAATGGGTAGGCAAACTGTAGCCCATGAGAGAACTCAAGACTCTCTTTGTTTTATTCAGCCAATCTCATTCCTTTATGGATTATCTGTTGATTACTTCCTGCTACAGGAAGCAGGTGTTTATTTATTTAAGGTCTGTCTTACCTGCTAGACTGTAAGCTCTGTGAGAGCAAAGGCCTCTTTGGTCTTGTTCCAGCACTGTACTAAAAAAAAAAAAAAAATGAGTTTATAAATATTCATTAGATATTGCATTGGTGAGTTAATTTTCATCTGAGAAAATTAATTTACTAGAAATTTATTCAGAGCTTTAGACACATAATGCATTAGTTTAAAAAAGTTGGCTATCAATGAAGCAAGCTGTTAACTAGAAAGACATCTAATGAGAGATCAGAGAGGTATTTTATAAATTTACCAGCATCCAAGAATAGACCTTACTTTTTTCTGGGCTAATTATTATTTGTCACGTCTCTGAGCATTACACTGGTTTCACAAAAACACGCATGATTGTGAGCATGACATAAAATTGAAATGGTAATTTACCAATGTATTATCAAAAATGGTTACTATGGCAAGCATCCACTTCTAGGTAGGGGAAATAACTATAGGAAAAACTTACTGGGTAAACATGAGATGAGGACAAAATTTGAATACCAAACATTAATACTTAATGACCCGAGATTAGCCTAATTTTATATTTCTCCAACAGGTTAGAAGTACTTCACAAGATGTTGTCAATTCACATATATTTAGAACTCAATATCTTTCTAAGTGCTGAACTCAGAATTGAAAAGGACATTAAGTCCATGGTCATCATAGCACTTTCCTCTTATCCGTGTGGGAAGGATAAAAGGCAGCCAATGGTAAATGAAACAAGCTAAAAATTGAGAAAAAAAAATGGTATGGAAACCCCCACCCACCCACACACACACACACACAAAAAAAAAAAAAAAAACAAAAAACACCCACCAGAGTGGGCATAGTGGTGCACACCTGTAATTTCAGTGACTTGGTAGGTTACAGAAGGATCACAAGTTTGAAGCCAGTCCAAGTAAATCAGTGATGCCCTAAGCGTTGGGGATGTGGCTCAGTGGTAAAGTGCCCCTGGGTTCAATCCCCAGTAATCAATCAAAATGATTAAAAAAAAAAAAAAAAGTAACTTTGTCTGGAAAAACTTCCAAGAATGAGACATTAGAGTGAGACCTGAAAAAGAAAGGTGTCGGTGGTCCCGGTCCCGTGAGACAGGTTGGAAGAGTATTCAGCCCAGGACGCAGCAGGGTGGAGGAGAAAGGAAGCTGTGTTTGCTGTAGAATCCGGTGGGCAAAGAAGGCGGTGGTCAGAGCTAAGGTTGGGAAGGAGAGTGCAGAACCTTGTGGGAAGCAATTTGCAATGCATATCAAAACCAAAGAAAACCCTTAAGGGGTTTCACACCAAGAACCATTGCTTAGGTTAACCGTTTACTTTTGGCTGCGGTATGGAGAATGGACAAGAGTGGAAGAATAATTTATTAAGAAATTCAATCATCTAACTGACGCTGGGTGTTTGGGTGGAGGTGGGTCTGAAACGCAAGAAGGGTGGGAAAATAGAACAATCTCTTCTGGGGCGCTTTACCACTGAGCTCTATCCTCAGTCCTTTTATTTTATTTTATTTTTTTTTTTTTAATTTTGAGATAGGGAGGGACTAAATTGCAGAGGCTGGTCTACAACTTGCGACCCTCCTGCCTCAGCCCCCAGAGTCCCTGGGATTACCGGCGGGAGCCACCACGTGTGCCAGTTTTAGGACCTTTTAAGCTTGTTGGTGGATTGGATAAAGGGCGTAAGAGAAACAAGAATCGAAAATGAGCTGTCCTAGGTTTTATTGTTGTCGCGGGTTTTTTTTTCTTTGTTTTTTTGGTTGCTAAAGTAATTGACTGAGGTGGATGGTAGTGCTATTTCTCAAAATCAGTGGGGAGGGAAAGAAAGGAAAAGATAGACCTACTGTCTTATCAATAACTTAAACATTTTAATATAAAATAAACCTCGCCATAATGGAATAAAATATTTACATTAAATGAAACAAAATTAAAACAAACAAACAAACCGCAACTTCAAGGAAATTTCAACCAGGCATTCGTTGGCTTCCTTCTAAGTGTATTTATTTCCCTTAAATCTCTTGTAAAAGTGTATAGTACCAGTGTCCCCAAACAGCTAGCGGTCAACAGTCTAAGCCGTAGAAGTTGAGTGATCAAAACAGGCTTGGACTTAGATAAACCCGATTCATTCGTACATTATAATACATCCCCCTTCCCTGCACCCATATCAGAAAAAAAAAAAAAAAAAAAAAAGTTTCGTGAAACAAGACTTACCCATGCAACTAGGATGCGCTCCCAAGAGTTTCTATTCCATTTCCTTTCAAAGGTAAGAGAAAGAAGGAATTGCTGCTGCCTGCTCAACCATAGTCTACTATGCCACGTGCTCTGCTTCTCAGACCCCTTAGACCTCCTTTAGGTGGACACAGTGAAATGGGCTACACCCACAGGGCTGAAAAGTAGGTGTAGCCCATTAGTTTGGAATTTCCGAGGAAAAGCACCAACCAGACACGGAGGGCGGGGAGATGGGTGTGGCTCCGCACCTGGCCTGCAGGTAAATACCCGCTGGCTCCCGCCAGAGCACCGTCACCTTCAGCGGGGCGGGAGGGGTTAAAGCGCTTCTTCCGGGTGGCTGCGGGTGGCCCGGCCTCAGCCAGGCACCAAAAAGCCTTTGAATCCCAATCGCCTGGCTTTAGCACGCAGTACGTACTCAATAGTTGTCTATTGAACGAGTGAACGTAGGTGAAATGAAATTTAAGCTTTTAGGTATCAATGACTACAAATCAAGCGTAGGAGGCAATTTTTATTCCTGGAAATGGAAGTTTGCTCTAATACACACCCACAAGTCTCCCTGCACTCTCCCCATCTCCACTTCTCCTCCAACAGTCCTAAATAAACTGACTGTCTCTGTCCATCTCTTTTTTCCTTAGCTATTCCAGTGGCTTTTATATCCCTTGAAGTAATTCACTTGGAAGCTTAGGTCAATCAATGTTCACCATTGGATAGGGTCTACTGAAATTTAACAGTTCGTATAAATACACTCACACTATTAAAACAAAAACCAAATCAATATTTAAAACCTCTTAAATTTTGACATAAAGCCTCTCTGTGGTTCACCTATCTGGCAGCAGTCCTGTGCTCTCTGTTTTTGAACCAATTTCAATTGTGAGATTGCAAAAGAAAAGATTTTCCAATGGGGATGTATTTGAAATTTCTATTTATTATTGGCTGGTATTGTTGCCCAAAGTTCAGTCCTTGTCCCCATACTATTCCAATAACGATAACACAGTTTGGAGAAAAAGGAAAAAGAAGCTTTATTGTTTTGCTAGCAAAGGAGAAGCACAGGGGACTCCTGTCCCAAAGGCTGTGATTCTGCCCATTCACAGTTAACGGGGCTTTTAA